AAATTATCATTTAAATTCCTGGAAATGGAATTGAACATCTCAAAAACATCGATTTATTGCATTTTGACCGAACATTTGGAGCGTGCAAAAAGCTGTATTGAAGCAGACGAAGGCTATTTTGAATAAAATAAAATGAATTTGCCGGCATTTGTTCTGTTTCTTTTAAAGTCCTGTTTTATTTTCTCAAGCACCTTGTAGGTTGTAACATTAGGATTTACGTGAAAATTATATTTCTCTCTACTTGAGAAAAATTATCTGATATGTTCTTCCAGCTAATAATTCCATTATTATGTAGTTAATCGTGCGAAACAAGACAGGAAAACATTGTTTCTCTGGCCTTTGATGAATTTTAATGTTGAGATTTATAGTTCTTTCAGAAACATTGTCCGTTCGTTGTGGATATATGGTTTTCCATTACATTACATTTTTTCCTCTAACCGATACCATATATTTAACCCATGGTAAAACATATTTGAGTTAACGTTGAGAATAATGGTTTTCATCTTTCAAGATTCATGTTTCTTATAGAGAAGCYCATGATATTAAGTTGAAATACAACTAAAAGAAATATCTTAGTTGGCCAGTCTGCCTTTTCTGTCAAGAACTTCGACCTGGGCTTCACGTTGTAGGACTTGGGAGTGGAAAGGGAAGTGATGATGGGGAGTGATCGCTGTTGTGAAGATCATCAAGGGTAAGGGAAGTAAGTTTGGGAGCTAGAGTAGCGGAAGCAAGAATAACATCGGGTTGGGTAAATGTTCCATGGGTTGAAAAGTGTGTGGGTGAGCCGTGGTTAAGAACGATAAGGTCATGAGACAAAATTATATCTTCTATTATTTCGCCTCTTTTATTTGCAGCCGTGGAACCCCATAATGGGCTCCATGCACTGAGATCGCCTATAATAATGATGGGGGTAGCAAAATAATTGAGAACATCCGATATATCTCTAACGTTAAAGCTTTGATGTGGGGGTATGTAGCAGTTGATGATTGTAATTTTGAAGCCAATGTCTACTTCGATTGCTAAACAAGAGATATTGGAGGAAACTGGTATTTCTTTGTGGTTTAATCTTTAAAACACACTAATGTAAGCTGCAAGCCATTTACCATATCACGTTGCCTATCTGTTGTGAAACAACTTAACATCGTCGCAACTCCAACTTTGGTTGAAGCAGCAATATCCCCATCCTACTCTTCACTTACAACATCACTTATTACCACTTCACAACAACACCGCAAACAGTCTACAAGCAACAACGAATACCAACAACTACATAACAAAGCCTTAGAGCATTACAACAAAACTTGGGAAGTTGTGCATACAGACGGATCTAAATCCGACACAGGTACTGCGTTTGCTGTGACAAATAAGCTAGGTTCCACCATTCTGTTATATATTCTCTGCCACCGTACTGCTCGGTATTCACAGCCGAAGCAGCTGCAATACCTGAAGCGGTACTTTTTGCCTCCCGCAATGGAAAGAAAACGGTCATTTGTACCTATAGCAAATCCGTCATCGATGCTATTTTTAACCAATCAAATTGCATACCAATGATTCAAAAAATACGTAACATTATTATGCAGCATATCAATGAAATCAAAATAATGTGGATACCTGCCCACATAGGGATCCGTGGAAATGAAACTGCAGATAGAAGAGCGAAGGCAGCCTGTTGCGAGCCTCTGTATATATCTGAACACTTCACCGACAAA